CCTCATTTTCCACATTGACACTGATGGAGCTGGCCTCATTTTCCACCTTGACACTGTTGTAGCTGACCTCATTTTCCACATTGACATTGATTTAGCTGACCTCATTTTCCACGTTGCCATTGATGTGGCTGACCTCATTTTCCACTTTGACATTGATGGAGCTTATTTCATTTTCACCACTGATTTAACTTAAACTGACCTGATTTCGGCCATCAATTTAATTGAAATGATCTTAGTTTAACTGAGGTTATGTTTCATGCTGATTTCAATGACCTGATTTTACGCCCTGGTTTATGTGACATACTTTGACTACCGGTACTCAGTCTAGTGGTTTAACTGCCATAGTTTTGACTACTTTCTTCTGGTTTAACTGCCATAGTTTTGACTACTTTCTTCTGGTTTAACTGACATAGTTTTGACTACTAAGTCTACTGGCTTAACTGCCATAGTTTTGACTACTTTCTTCTGGTTTAACTGCCATAGTTTTGACTACTTTCTTCTGGTTTAACTGACATAGTTTTGACTACTCAGTCTACTGGTTTAACTGACATAGTTTTGACTACTAAGTCTACTGGTTTAACTGACATAGTTTTGACTACTAAGTCTACTGGTTTAACTGACATAGTTTTGACTACTCAGTCTACTGGCTTAACTGCCATAGTTTTGACTACCCGGTACTCAGTCTACTGGTTTAACTGACATAGTTGTGACCACTCAGTGTACAGGTTTAACTGACATAGTTGTGACCACTCAGTGTACTGGTTTAACTGACATAGTTGTGACTACTCAGTCTACAAGTTTAACTGACATAGTCGTGACCACTCAGTGCACAGGTTTAACTGACATAGTTTTGCTCAATGGTTTAACAGATCTGATTTTCCCTCTGGTTTAACTAATGTAATTTTTGTAGCTTTGTTTAACTGTTGTGGTTTTTATCACCCTCTGGTTTAACTTTCCCTTGTGAATCAATGGATATTTGCTTGTACTTGGTAGCTGTGCTACAGTCCTTGCACTGTTGGCACTCCTGCTTCTCTCAGATGCTTAGATCATTCTTTCTTTCACACCTTGTTTCCGCCATACTAGTATTTTGTTGGTTGTTTTTTTTCCCTTTGTAAAATAAACATAATGCTTTAAAATATTTCAGTGACTTTAAGCCTAGTCAAGAAAATAACATGATGACATTGCTTCTATTTTTCTATTTGGTGCACATATTTACAGTATATTTTTGTAACTCATTTAACTTCTACTAGTGAATTTTTGTTGCCATATTTCAGGGACGGGCAAGAAACAGAATACACTAGTGGTAGGGCTAAGGAAGATCTTGTCCAGTTTATGATAAAGTGAGTAGACCTTTTCTATTTCTATGCAAGTTAATCTTAACATAATGCTTATAGATACTCCTGTAGTACTTGTGGGATATATGCCCGTGACAAACAATGCTTATAGATACGGGTACTCAAGTAGTACCCGTGGGATATATTGCCCCATTGCTGCGTTTATATGCTGTGACAAACCAGTGGTGATTGACATTGTCATTGAGTAGGGAAATGAGCTAGTCTTTGCTAGAGAGATGACCTTTGATCTGCTGCAGTTTATAAAACCTGACCTTGTTGTGAAAATGCTCAATAATGGTGTGAGGGATTGGGATATGAAAGAGAGAGAGGCTTGAAAATGTGTAAGGGGGGGGGGGTGTGAGGACACGTGAATGTTAAAAATAATATATTTAGTTTAGAAAATTGAAGCTAATTGTATGTTCACTAAAATATTGACTTCTTCTGTAGCTCTCTGTACGGAGAAGACGCAGACGACATGTCTTCAGGAAAAGGTTCCAAGAAGGACGACAAGTCTGTTCCTTTTGTAAAGTCCCGCTATGTGAAGAACTTAAGCAAGAAAGATTTCCATCAGTTTATTAGTAAGTGAAGTTAATTAAACCCCACGTGTAGAGCGGCACTATGCTTCTTTTGATAAAATGGTGCTTTTATAGTCATTACAAATGTTCATGATGTAATTTATCAGACACAAAAATGTAACAAATCATGTAATAGTTTTAACCATGGGGTTTGAATAAGTGGGAATGGAGTAGTTTTTCCAAAGTCAGGATTTATTCATGTTTCTCAAGACTCGGATAAAACAATCGTGTTGAAGTGGATAAATCTAGAAATGTTTTTTTGTTTAAACATTGAAGATGACTGAAAGTTGGACAGTGATTTAAAATGTTTTTTGCCTGCACTTTCATGAGTACCACATTAAGGAAGCCTCTTGAAATTCGGGTTAGATAATATTTATTAATACTTGTAAACAAAAGATAATATGTACTATGAAAAATAATGGTATGTGCTTATTCTTAGAGCCCAGTAACCTACATTGTGAATTGTCTATTTCAGATGAAAAAGCTGCAGCCTTGGTCATGTTTTATAATCCTGAGTGTCAGTTTTGTCAGAATGCTAAGCCCCATTTTGTCAAAGCTGCCAACACTGTGTCTGTTAAGAACCGGTCCTTTGCTGCTGTAGATTGCACTAAAGATGATGGTAAGAAAACTAAAATAAATTGTCAACTCACTCAGTTCTGGCATCCCAGCAGGATAACAATTTATAACATAAGTACCATTGTAACAAATATCTTCAACCTATTATGATTCAGCATTTATCATTTTAAGGGAAATGAGAACATAATTAATTATAAAGAAATGTAACATTTTGTTAAATTATGTTAAATAGTTCTCATTAGGTTTAATTAAATTGTTTTGATTGGGCTGAATACTTAATTGACAAGGAAGATTCTTTATGACAGCAAGCTTGACCAGTGAATTAAATAAATGAACATTTGTGACCTCTGAAGTCTTTGTTTCCTCAACTTATCCCCATCCCTGTTCATACACCTATTTGCAACCTAATCTGCGACTAGGGGGGCATTTTTACAGGATAGTGATTTATAATTTCAATTTGTATATTTTATTTACTTGCCTTCCATATTCCAGGGATTATTTGATTAAATTTCAATTAAGAAACATACCATACTAACTTTTTGAAAGGATCGGATGAGAAAAGTTGGAAGAAAAGTTAGTTAGTTGCAGAATTAGAAAAATCAAAACAAGAATGGCAAGGGAAGATGTAATAAAGTAGAAAGTTTTAAGTTCAAACCAAATAATCATTATTTTTTAAAAATAGGTTGAAAATCTAGTTGTACTAACTTGTAATTCTTTTTCCTTAAAGCATAGGGAAGAAAGAATGTTTTTTACTACTGGCCCTGAATGTCACCTCACCACATCTTTTCATGCCATCCTTATCACCTCATACCTACCTTAGAGAATCTTACTAATGTTCTCACTACTAAATCGTTCAATTTTTTTTTTCAGCCTTATGTGAAAATGAGAACATCACAAGATTTCCCTCTTTCAAGCTGTATGTGGGGGGAAAATATTACAACAAATTTAACCAGGCCCCTCATTATACTTCATTGAGAACCTTTGCAGAGAATGCCCCTGTGGAGCAAGATGAAAAGCCAACAACCTTCAACTCTCAACCCCCACCGGCCCAACCTGGACACAGAAGATACAGCAGTAGGGAGGATTTATAAGAGTGGATCATCCTAGCACTAACTAGCATATCGAGTCGTTGCGCGTGCTTGTTTTGTGAGAGTCTGGAAACAAGAGAAAATAATGTGTATGTGGTGAATGCTTCTTAGGATTAAGTAAATAAATAAGAGAAAAACCAAGAATTAGATTTTTAGGGTATTGTGTATGTGGCTGGCCATTCTGTTCAAAGATTTTGCTTAAAAGCCTTCTGAAAGTTTTTCTTTCTCTGCAAAGTAACTTAACATTTAAAACAACTTGAGAGGCTGTTTCAAATATGTGAATTTGTCTTTTTCTCTCTAGTAAATACGTAATGCTCAAGCCGCTAATGCCAAGTAAAATACAGCCATTTAATATGATTTCTTGTGTTCAGTACTATTCAGTGTTCATGTTTAAATAATAGCAGGCTCATAACACAATTCCATTTTTTGTCTCTTATGTTTTTTCTCATCAAAACTTTGTTACAGTCCCCACTTCTAAGTGAAAAAAAAACCTTATAAAGAAAGCAAAATATCTTTAAAAATGCAAAGAATAAAATACTAAAATTAATAAAAACTTGTGTTTGGATTATTGATTATTAAATCATTTGTTCTAAGTTATTTCTGTTGTGATTCAAGAATTGGATAAGTTAGCACATATAATAGGACTATGGAATGTTTTCTTTCTTCCTGCATGAACTGCTCCTGATCTATCTTTCATTGGTTGCTTCTTTAGAGTCGCTTCTTTTCATGTTATTTGTCTTACTTTCTTTGTTTGCAGCTGATTTCTGCAACTACAATCTTGACATGCTTTTTAAAACTTGTTTTCCATTTAGTGGCTTTGCAAGTGTATCTAAGAGGTGTTGGATGCTACAGAGGTTTAAAGTTAAACTTTGTTTTAAGCTGCATATTAACGATAATATAATAATAAATATTACAATTCTATGACAATATAATAATAAATATTACAATTCTTTTAAAAGAGCTATGTTCATTTGATTGTTTTACTACTCTTACAGTACCCGAAGCAGGCCTGACACTTCACAAACTGATGTAACATTTTATATTTGAAGGTATTAAACAAGATACCGCAGCAGATTCTAATAGTGCACTGTAGCTTATTAATATTTATATGGTTTTATACTTGCACCACCAGATTTGAACTCCACTTTCCATTAAGTAATGAAAAACGTGATTCTCACATCAGTCTGGTCATGGAGTAGCATCAAGACACCAATTCTCTCAGTGAACTACCTACATCAGTTGTTGCTAATGGTAACCGCAAACTGATCAACTCAAGGGATTTATAAGCATTTATTACATTACCAGCTTATGCCTGTTTACTTAAAAAACATTCAACCGTTTTTACAGTTCATCAAGCATAAAACGTAGCACTATATCAGTGGTCGGCAAACTCATTAGTCAAAAGAGCCAAAAATCAGTAGCAGGACGATTAAACTTTTTTTTGAGAGCCAAATTTCTTGTCAATAACCATGTTTTTCGGAGTCAAAACCGATTTCTGGCCATCTGGCCGAGCAGCACTCAGGTCGTTAAAGAGCCGCATATGCCAACCACTGCACACATCAACCAATGAAATGTTGAATGATAACAAGGGAAAAGTTATTGTTATCTTTAATACATTGAAATGCTCAGAAGCAACATATTAGATGCATAAAATAAGCTAGTCTTATTAAGCTGTTCTGTAAACAAAAAGGTATACTCAATGTGTAAAGAAATGTATATAGTCTGTGGGAAAAAAAAATGTGTCAATAGAAATAAATACATTACTTAATGAGTGTTTCAAAAGTAAGATTTTAGATATGTAATTGTGTCTTTGACATTAATCACATATATAAATGTTAAAATTATCACATAAATAGTTTAAAAATACCTAACCTTAAAGCAATTAGTTCTGAAATTCCCTTCTCTTTGAATCTATATTGACATATGGTAGGACATTAGTCAAATCTCGAATTACCTATATATGAAAATTTTTTAATGGGAGTAAGTGATAAACTGAGGTACACCAAATTAACTTGTCTCACTCTTTTTTTCTTCTGACACCAATATTCAAAATACCATAATTCAGTCAATATTTCCTTACATCACTATCTTCTACCCAATATTACATTTACATCACCATTATACAGTCAAATTACCTTACATCATCTTCATAAACTGAATAAATGTGTACATCATACAGTCCCATGTACACCATTCCACAGTCATAACACATCATATGCTGTCAACAATATCATACAGTCCATTATGTGTACATCAATTCTCTCAAAGACATAGCTCCCCTTATCACAATAACAATAAATTTACACCAACATGAATATAAGAATGATCCTGGCCAGGGAGACATTACTTAAATTATTCTTTTTATAACCTTCCGTCAATTCAGCTGTTCATTGATCTGTTCCTCTACATTTAATGTGATGAATGCACATCACCACAAAACGTCCAAGTCCTGTCCCTCAAAGCAGCACGCAGACACAGTTACACCCCCCACATCTGGCCATTGTGTGGTCACCTCCTGTGCCCTGGTCATTCTTATTCTCCTGGCGTCAACTGTTCCCGTCCTCCCCCGGCTCTTTGTCGCTCTCCTTGTCCTCATCATCATCGTCCTCTTCATCCTCACTATCAGATTCAGTTGTTTTGTTGTCAAGTCTTGCCCTTATGGCCCTCAGTCGCTTCAGTGAACCCTTGAAGTCGAACTTGGGACGAGCGTCACCAAAAGGATCCTGCAGTAGAGTGAAATAATGATAACGCTGATCAACAATAGTTTAACATGTTGACATCTGGTGCATAAAACCTTTTGGAGGTGGTCAAAAGTTTTGAGGGGCAAAAAAATGATTGGTTTTGATTTGACCTGGACTTAATGGCCACTCACAAGTTTACCTGCATTCAATGACCACTCACAAGTTGACATGGACCACTTACAAGTTAATTTGGACTTAATGACCACTCACAAGTTGACATGGACCACTCACAAGTTCAACTGGACTTAATGACCACTCACATGTTGATATGGATTTAATGACCACTCACAAGTTGACATGGACCACTCACAAGTTCAACTGGACTTAATGACCACTCACAAGTTGATATGGATTTAATGACATGGACCACTCACAAGTTCAACTGGACTTAATGACCACTCACAAGTTGATATGGATTTAATGACCACTCACAAGTTGACATGGACCACTCACAAGTTCAACTGGACTTAATGACCACTCACAAGTTGACATGGATCACTCACAAGTTTACCGGGACTTAATGACCACTCACAAGATGTGGACTTAATGACCAATCACAAGATGTGGACTTAATGACCACTCACAACTTGACATGGACTTAATGATCACTCACACATTTACCTGGACTTAATGACCACTCACAAGTTTACCTGTACCGACTGTTCACTTACAAATTTCACCAGGACTTGGTATGATCACCTAAAACTTACTTGTACTTCATTAAGACCACCCAAAAGTTTATCTGAACTTTGTGATCAATCTTAAAAAAAAAAACCCAGAATATAACAAATATGAACAGAAATTGAAATGAAAATGCAAGTCCTTTCAAAGGACAAATGACTATCAGGTTTCCTTACATTCATATCCATGGCATCCAGATGGAGATTGGATTCACACACCTGGACATAATATTTGTAATAGTCTGGGAAGGAGCTCTCCATCACAACCCTGAAACCAAAATAACTGGGTCAAGGTACAGGAAACATTGCCTCACTTTTACAGTGGGCTTATACTATCATTATAGTTCTTCAAAATTTACATACCGGTACTCAGGTTTATTAACATAGTATTAAAAAAAGACCCTCAATTTATTTTGTATCCTATTATTAGCAAAAGCTACATATTAATGTATACTTATGGTGTCCATACATCCCCGTTTACATCGGCGAATGGGAGAACATCGCTGAGCACTGTTCTAGCTGGCAAACAGCAGATTATGAAGAGGTAAAAAAAAAGCCAGAAGATGCGCGAAACGAAGCCCTTGCAACAAAAAGAGCAATACGGAAAGCCAAACTTAATGAGGAGTCAAGGTTCTCCTGCGAGAAATGCAGCAGAGACTGCCATTTGATGAAGTGTCAATAGCTATTCAATCCTCCTGTGAAGACGAAGGGATGCCATATATATCCTCATCATTTACATTATAGTGAACTAGCCCCACTGGTGTCCTAAAATCTCAAGCTATGTATCAGTAAACTGACCTGAATGTATCAGTAAACTGACCTCAATGTATCAGGTATCCTTATGTTGCCATCAATCATGTCACACACCGCCACACGAATTGTCTCATGTTGTATGATTGCATTGTAATGCTTAGAGTCACCTGAAGTTCTCTCCTGTGGATAAATATATACTTAAGTTACCGTACCTGACCCAAGTCTGGAACCAAAATTTTATTCTATACTTTTAATTTTAACTTACCTTTGGAAGTCCCAGCCAGCAATAATTTTAAATTTACAAATCACATCACACACAAATTAATGCCTCTATAGATCCCTCCACACATTTGACACCAGTTTTATTCTCCAGTCAAGCTACTATTTTTTTAACAATCTCCTTTAGTGGCTCAGTTTTTTTATAATTCATTCGTAAAATGTAAATAAAACATCCTTAGCAAGTCAAACTTAATTGTAAAAATTAAATAATAAACAATTAAATGGCATATACTAAATGGAATTTTTTGTTGTTATTTCAATTGTTTTGATGGGAGATATTCAGTTAAGAATAAAATTTCAACAAAAACAACAAATAAATGATTATTGTAAAGAGTTTTGATATGTTGGAGATAGATAGGTTCTTTGATGCTATAGTTTATGATGTTTTAGTTTACGATGTTTTAGTTTATGACCTTCTTAGTGCTCAAAAGTTGTTTGTAAAAACGTTAAAACTTCAGTGACACTCAGTTGTGAAGGTAAGTCAATTTCATTGTTAGTAATCATTAAACAAGGCCACTCACGTGTTTGAAGCCTGGCTCATTGTGGTAGGGCTTTTCATTCATCAAGGACTGGATAGAGATGAGAACTGTTGAGAGAGTCTGAGCTGGACTCCATGAGGGCCCTGCCCAGGTCCTGGAGGAATATTGGGAAAATATCAAACAAAAACCAGACATTATTTAGACACATTAATTGAGCCTTTAAATCACTCATATCTCAGCTGAATGAGGTCACTTTTAATGGCTAAACTATTTTTACCTAAAACATATAGAAATACATAGATAGTGTTAAGCTGATATAAATGATCTTCTGAGCTACACTAAAACACAAGGATGCATTGGGTTATTACAATATACAAGGCCACATCCAAAGCTCTAAGTATTTATAGATTTACCCCAAGATGCAAAAATTTCCCTACTTACCCAAGAATACTTAGGCAGACTTTGCCATTCTTGTATAAGTTTGGATTGAATCTTACGGTACCGTTCCCTGTTGTCATTAATCGAACTCTGGGTGGGCTAATAGGATAATCTGAAGGGAAGCGAATGAGGAAGTAAAAAAATCCACCTTCATAAGGTGTGTCGAATGGTCCAGTGAGAAGAGCATGGATCTGAAAATATACATTTTCTTTAAATTTTAAAGACAAATAAAGAAAAAAAATCAAGTTTGATTGAACGAATTTGAATTAGTGTTAATAATACATTTATAAAGATATACTGTTACTGAAATAAATCTTAGCAATGGCTTATTCTTAGATCCATACATGGCCCATTTTAATTCATTTTGTCTCTTACATTGATTTTTAAAAACATTTTTTTTGTCCATCATGAAGGTTTGTAGCTAAATAATGTGTTGCTTTGTTTATTCTTTATTCAAATTTTAACATTCAATTTGCTGTGTTAGTATACATTTACATTAATTACTCATGCATTGAGCATTCTGCAAAGTGGAGTATTATTTAGATGTTCTAACTACTGCTTATTTTAAAATATGCCATTTACTTATTAACCGTGATATGCTATTAACTATTAAGTACATGAGACTGTGCTGACCTCATCTCATTTATTTTAACTGGTTAGTAATGGAAGACACTAAGGCAATCTCTGATGTGCCATTCTTTTTTTCTTTTTTTTTGTTTAATACAATTTGTGTGTGCTCTTGTGGGCCATTTAAAATAGCCCACAGTGCCCACAGGCCACATTTTGGGACAGTTCTTCCAAAGCATTACTCACTTTAGTTATGTTGTTAGGGTCAGGCATGACGCAAAGACCAGGAGGTGGATCAGAATATATGGCTAAAATGTCACTGAAATAAATAAAGAAAATGGCAATTTAAAGTTCAGGTAAGAAATTTTGGGGTAATTTAATATGGATCATTTTGTAACTAGTGACCCGGTAAGTTAAAAACAAGAGTTGAGGATACATACAGTTAAAAAATTGATAAATTAGCTAAGATGTAAGGTACTAGAGGATAGATCATGATTGGCATGAAGGACATTCATTTTTTTGTTAAAGACACCCTATAGTAAATTATTGGTGTGCCCCCCCCCCACTCTATTTTTTTGTCTTCTGGATGTTTCTGTAGTACCCAAGGTTAATGAAAACTTACTTTTTAATACGTCTAATGCAGGATGGTGAAGGTGGGCTTGTCACCTCTGTGTCAGTGGGATCATCAGGGTCCCACTTGGCACTGAGGAAGTCATGCATGGCACCAATGTTCTCAGCTCCCTCAGGGCCGCTCTCCAGGAGTTCCATGTTACTTACAACACTAAAGGCAGCGTTTAGTTCTGAAATATTTTCTTTCTTGTCCCCACTTCCCATTTCAGTTTTTAGATTGGATTGTTCGCTTGAGCTTGTACTGGGTTGAGTAGCCATTTCTCCGCTGCCTTTATCTAAGTAGACAGCTGTATGAGACATTGTGACTCATACAAAAAGATAATTCCTTGGCTTTCTAAGCTTTATAAAAAAACACACAGGAAAATGTATAACTTAATTAATGTGTGATTAAAAAAAATACCCATTTTTATAATTATCAAAATATGCTTATAGAATAATAAATAAAGGAGTCAGCAAAAATTGATGCCAAAACCAGCAGTAATGAAAGGGTTAAAGGAGAAGAATCTTAATTAAATTTTCATATTAATACTAGGCTACAACAAACTTATAAGAATAAGTGTAATTGAAAATGTATATAAAAATGATGATTTATTTAGTTAATGTCTATATTCTCAACTTGAGCATTCTGACTTCAGAGACTATGCCTATGATTTTGTATTGAAAAATTTAATCAAATCCTTTTTTTTATGGATCTGGTGGATATTTAAGTTCAGTGAAAGAAAATTTGTGTTAAGAAATGTTGTAGGCCCTAGACTAGATACAATTTTGATATACTTCAACTTTAGTAAAGCCTACCACATTAATGATATATAAATAAAAATGGTAATTAGTATTAGTAGTAGTAATAGTAATATGAACTATTTGAAATCAGACTTATTTATTATCTAACTTCCTTCCTTAGTCAGTCTTTGGCTTTGGGCTAAGATTCTGTAATTACTGTAAAGTGTAAAATAAGCCTTTAAATATGTTATAGTCATAACTAAGTAGCTTGGCTTAGGACTGCTGCCTGTGGCATTTCTAGGGGCCTAGAAGAAGGCAGTTTTAATTCTACTCTGACTCTTAGACAGACCATTGCCTTGTAATGAATGTATCCCAGTCCTGGAAGTGAATTTTAGAAACAAATTCTTGAATTTAAATTAATAAATGATTATTGATTACAATTAAATTAATAAAATAGACAAATTATAGTGTAGTGTAATATTATAATCCTACAAGGATTCCTAGGCTAGTAATGAGAATGAACCACCAATGTCGTGACTAAATTAAATTAGCCTACTGACTACTGAGTCTACTGTGTAATACTAATAATAATAGTAATGACAATTTCTACGTATTTACGTATTTAATAATAATACGAAGTTAATAATTAATAATTTATTAAAATTACTAAAGGTAGCGAGTGATTGATAAGTTAATTAAAGTTTAAAGTTGATGAGTCAAGTGAGTCCAAGTCCAATGATTCATTTGATTGTTAGTTGTTAAAGTAACAAAAATTGTAACTTAATTCCCATAATTATTATAATCTCGGTAGGTCTAAATTAAAAGATTTAGAAATAGTACATGCTTACAACTAAGTAGAAATCACAATTTTTATGGTAGGAAAACACCAGTTTTAGGATCAGTCTACTTGTAAAAACAAAACAATTTGGTCATACCAATTACCCATTTCTCGAACGTACTTTTAAAAATAGAAATTTAAAGTCGACTTTGTCTTTTGCTGGTCTTTTTCACCTTACTTTACCTTATTTCACCTTATTTCAGGTTTATGGAGGGGGTGGTTTTCCTACCCGGGTGACACTTTTTCTCTTATATTGGGGGTGGTGTTTTCGGCCAACAGCAGAGATGTTTTTTTCCCGAGGAAGGGGTGACCTATCCCTGGTGACACTACCCTAGCTACGCGACTGCTTGATGATCATATATAACGTTCACTTATGTCAAAATACAGCCGCTTCTATTCAGCAACGTCAACAGTCATCATAAAGCAGATATGTGGAACCTTTTATCTGCAATTAAGCCCATTTGACATTTGGAAATTTAGTGAGCCATTAGGAGATCATATAAATTCAGAGGCTGGCCTTAGGTTATTTAGCGCCTCGGGCACAAACTAAGTGTGCGCCACCCACCCACTTTCTTTTTTCATTATATAGATCAACCCATTTTTATGTCTAAATCTAAAATACGAACATGTATAAAATGATGTCAAAAATAAGATATGACTTCATCATCCCCCCCCCCCCCCCCCCCCCTTTTTTTTTTTAAT